TCAGAACATAAATGAAGATTGTTTTTATGAAATCTGAGAGATTTCTGTCACTCCATTGACAGTCAATGCTACTACCACTTTGTTCACAAGTACGTTCACAGGTAGTCTTTTAAAATTAAATACATAAACATTGATCAGCGAACAAACAGAAGCTCAACAAAACTTGCTTGACACACAAAAACTATGGAAGGTGGATAGGGTCAAAACTCTTTAAACAGTGAAATATGGTTTCGCCTGGTACGGTGTGTGTGATGACAGTCTTATGACCTGGTTTTTCATTTCATTTTTAGTTGTTTGGTTCAGCGTTCTTTCTCAGGTAGGGAAGTCTTCATTTACATTAGAACATTAATTAATTTACTCAAGCACAGTAGATATCAGTAAAGCAATGCTGCAGTAATCTAAAGAAAGAATGAATATGTGGGTAAATCTCGAGGTAGGTCTACTTTATAAAGTATCACAGGTTCAAACACCACCAGAATGTGTGTGTTGAGAGATACATTCAAATTCGTTGTCTTAATATGGTAAAACTGTGCCTCTTTACACGTACTAAGGCACAAACTGATGCCTTAACAAGGCCAGAATATGCGTGTCTACACATACAAAATAAACCAGTATTAAAGCGGACAAACAGTGCATGTTGATACGGTGACATTTCACCCGTTCCATGTAAAGAGTTTTGGCCCTGTCTGCCTTCCACAGAAAACAATTCTCATTGGTTCTTGTGCTGCGTAACACACATAGACTGTAAAAAAAAGATGGACGAAGCATCTCTACTTCCGTCCACTATTGAGAAGTGAAGCCAAATCATCCCAGTATGGCCACTGTCATCTTGCGCCAATGACGTAATTTGGAGCCTGTGTCTGCACAGTAATAATTCATTTGGAGCCAGAGACTGCGCAGAAAACGAACTTATTAGAAAAACGAACACTTGAACGTACGTCAGTGTGATAAGAACTACCTAAAATGATGGAAACCATCTTTGGGTAAGTGTAATTTGATTTTTCAGTTTGGCTTACCCCCCATTTGCTTACATATGGCGCTTTTCCACTGCATGGTACGGCACGGTAC